TACAGCTACAATTATTTTAAAATACAAAATGAAAAAGATTAAGCAATTATTTTTTACCTGAGATGATACTATCAAAGCTGGGAAAAATACCCCCATTACTTATTTTATTCTGCAAAATTGTAAGGCAAACATCCAGGGCTGCTGCTTACAAGGAGAGTCAGTAAATGTAGATTGTGTATTCGGTTAAATCTGTACTGTGAGGTCTGAGTTACTCATACCTCAGATGCAGTTTTTCCAAGGGATGGATCTATCTCAGTGATACTTTTCTACCCCATGGTGATTCTCCCAGGAAATCTCGTCCTGGAAATCCACAACTAGCCTGTATCTGAGCCTTCCAGGTGATAACTGGATAAATTTTATCTGCCGGTGGTTCTCACTGATAGAAGGACACCCTCATCAATGGCCTTTAACTTTGGCTTTTAAGATCAGCTATCCAGTTCATTGGGCAAAATGAAAATAAAGCTAACAGAGCAAAATATTCGAGATCAACTGAGAAGAGGACAGGCTGAGGTCCTGGCCATGACATGACTACTTTCAATATTTGCCTGGCCCGGTAATCCATGACTCAGTCACCTCACTCCCAATCATCAACTCCAGTAGCTCCAAGGGAACAGGGAACATGGGACTCCCACCACCATCAGAAGACTCCTGGCTAGAAAGACCCTGACTTCCTTCTGCCTAACAGACTAACAGTTGTCAGGTCACAGGTAGAGATGTGCCCTGACACATTTTCTCTCCCTTGACTGTGCTGCACACTGTTTTTCCTCTTGAGTAAATGGCGGTCTCTGAAGTGTCAGATTTTCCTGAACTCTGCACTGAAACAGAGGCTCACACACGCTCAGCCAAAAACACACTCTACAGATTTCCTGTGTGTGGACTAATCTGAAAAGTAGCATTTATCACTTAGTTTTCAAACAGAAGAGATTCTAGTGGCTTAATCAATGCTGCTCCTTTATTAGGTGATGGGCTGGTAGCTCATTCTCACTTCCTTTAGTATCCTACGTAGTTAAATAAATTCCCTTTTAGCAATCACACACACACACACACACACACACACACACACACACACCTATATACATACATTCACCATGTGTACACAGACACACACACACACACACACACACACACACATTCAACAATGAGG